TGATGTTAAATATTGGTGAGGTTGTGAGGAAAGGGGAATACTTATTCACTGCTGGTGGGAGTGCAGACTGCTACAGCCATTATGAAAATCAGTGGAGGATCTTCTAAAGGCTAAAATATATATCTTCCACATGATCTAAGCATACCACTCTTGGGCACATAGTCAGAGGATTCTGTATCCTACTGAAGAGATATCTATTCACCCATGTTCATTACTGCCTTATTCACAATAGCCAGGCAATGAAAACAACTTAGATTCCCATGAACTGATGAATGGATAATGAAAGTATGGTACATTTACACAATAATATATTATTCAGCTGTTAAGAAAAATGAAATTGGAGCTGGGGATGGTGGCACACACCTTTAATCCTAACATTTGGGAAGCTGAGGCAGGCAGATCCCTGTGAGATGGCGGCCAGCCTGGGGTGGTCTATATATCAAATTCCAGGCCAACTAGGGATATATGTGAGATACTCTCTCAAAAAACCAAAACAAAATTAATTATGAAATTCAGAGGCTAATGGATGGAACTGGAAAGAATTATCATACCTAACGTAACTCAGACCCAGAAAGACAAAGCCAAATGTTCTCATAAGTAGATGCTAGCTTTCAATCTTTATATAGGATTATTTCAACTATAAAACCTTTAGAGATCAGAAAACTAATAAGAGGCCATGAGAGGAGTGTGTGATAATGGGAGATAGAATTCAATGATACAAATGCGAAAGGGAAATGATGGATAGGACGGCTTTAATTGGGTGCAGAATGGGAGGTTAGGGCAGATGAAGGAGTAAGAGGAGGAATAATTAACACTAAAGGCCTTTTGAAGGAGCCATATGAAAACCTACTATAGAAGTTTTTATCCTTTTGAGACAGGGTCTCCCTGTAGCCCTAGCTGGCCTGGAACTCACTATGTAGACAAGGCTGGCCTCAAACTCACAGAGATCCACCTGCCTTTGCCTCCCAAGTGCCGGGACTAAAGGAGTGTGCTACCATGCCCAGACAGAAGTTTTTTTTTTCAATATACTCATATACACTAAAAAGAGTTTAAAAGTGGCTACCCTATAACAAGGGTTCAATGTCCTAATAGACACCACAGGATAGTAAAAGCAAAGCCCAAATACCAGAAATGGACACCCTCTTTCAGAGTAGTTGAGCAGAGAGATCCCATAGACCTTCAAACAATATTGGCTGTTACCAATGCACTTGGTTATTCACCAAAACTTCACAAGTAAGACCCTATTGCTGAAGATACTACATATCTGAGGCATATAACAAAAGGGGAAATCAAGTTGGTACTGACCTTGAAGCTTGCTTTCAAGCTTGGCTTGCTTTCATAGTACTAGAAGTTACTGTATGTTATTGGCAGAGAAAGGTAATCATCCCAGTGTTACCCAGCTGTGAACCCTGCAAGCTACAATAACAACTGACTTGGTAAAATGTATTCACCAGTACAATAGTTGCATGAATCATATGGGAGTAATGAACCACCCTCTACTTGGATTCAAGATCTGTTTCACAATAGGGAGTCCATACCTACCTGACACGGTTATCAGAGCCAAGAACCTGTAGTTAGCCAGGTCATAGGCCATAGGGGAAATCTTACTATTATCATTCTGCTAAATACACAATATTAAACTGACTTATAGATTAGCACATCTCTCAACTTTCACCAGAGAAGGTTCTTCTGGCAGCAGATGTGATTAACACAAAGACCCATAAATGGTCAATGGGCAGAGAATCAGAAACTGCAGAGTTCTCAGTCTTAATTGGGACACCTGTATTGCACCCTCTCCTCCTCAAGGCTTGGGGGTCATTGTGGAAGAGGAGACAGAAAGACTGTAAGAACCAGAGGTAGTATGAATAGAAGGAAGCTGTTGTCTGGACACCACAGGGTAGTTGCACATATGAACCCACAGAATTTATGACAGCATGCACAAGACCTGTGCAAACTCAAGTCAGACAGGGTTCCAGCATAGATGGGTAGAAAGCTCCAGCCTTAGGTGAGGATCTATTGGTAACTGCTAGATGATGGGAGAGGGAAAGTCAGTTTTCCTACTAGTGTGCTACCTGATAGGTTGACCAGATTCTGAGGGATAGACACACACCCAGAAGCACTTGGGAAACACAAATTAGACTCGATAGGCCTTAAATTTTTTTTAAAGATAATAATAGAGGACATTAAATCAGGGGATAGTAGTAAAGTTGGGAGGAAGGGGGATGGGGTCTAAATATGATCAAAATAAATTGTATAAAATTCTCAAATCAATACAAACACTAAAAAAGAAATTGACACATACTGACATATAGCAATTAGGGGTTTTGTGCCTTATAAATTAACTTCTCACATGTATGTTTTATTTTAGTTCATGTATGTTTTATTTTAGTTTTACTACCATTCTTTGAAACAAGCATTGTCAAACTTTAGTAAATGAAGAGATCAGAGATCAGAGGAGTTAATTATTTGTCTAAGGTTACAAGTGTTAAGTTGCAGACCCAACTCATTTAATATGTAGAGTAGTACAGTGATCATTTACTTTATTAAACTTTGGAAATGAACATAGTCCATTCATTTTTATTTGATTAGAAGATGCCTTTCAACATACTTTTACATGTTCTACAGAATATGTACCTTCTTTTCTGGACCATTGCCACCATCTCTAATGTAGTATGTCAAGCACTACCTCACCTCAGATCTTTAAATACCTCATGTTGTGACTACTACTATTTTTATGCTCTCCTCAAAGGTGACTTCAGGGATAGCAAGATGCTCAATGAGTAAAGGCTTTTGCCACCAAGACTGACAACCTGTGTTCAATCCCTGGGACCCATATTGTGGAAGGAGATAACTTCCACACTTTGTCCTCTGACCTCCACTTACATGCCTGGGAATGCACACCCACAAAGGCACCGCCCCCCCCACACACGCAGAAGAATAAATATAAAATTTAAAAAGTAAATTCAAAGGTTCTCTATTAGTTTAAGTAGTACAAACCTCTCTGTTCAGCCCATTTGCAATCTAACTTTTAAGGCATATAGTTCCTGTTCATACGAATTTTCTTTTGCACTGAGCTGGATATTCTCTAAATAGATCTATCTATATTTTGGGGACCAGGTAGAGTGTTTTTAAGTTTATTTTTATTTATCTCAATTCTATCTATACTTCTTATTTCTTCCATAAAGTTTTTATTATGTCTGGAAACTTTGATCTTTTCAATATATCATATGTGTAACATTCATTTGGCAGTGGCATGGTACTATTCACTATATTTTTGATTATGTCTCTCCTATGGTTTGACCATGTCCCATAAAGTTCATATGCTAAAAAGTCAATCTTCAATTCATATGTTAATGGTATTGGAAGTAAGGCTTTAGGGGGCTAATTAGGATTAGGTGAGGTCATGAGAGTGGGATCACAATGATAGTGCTTGTGGCTTTATAAGAAGAAACCTGAGTTAGCCTGCTTGCATTATCTTGCCATGTGATGCCCTCCTGCCAGACAAGATGTAATAAGGTTCATCACCATATGCTGGGTTCCATGTTCTTTGTCTTCCTAGTCTCTAGAGTTATGAGCCAAGGCTGGGTATTTTATTACAGGACAGAAAGCAGACTAAAACAGTTTCAAGTCATTTCTGGTAGTGTCTTTACTGCCTAGAGAACAATGTTACCTAATACTTGTAGATTTTTTTTCTTAGAAAAGATGAAAACAATTCGCATTCTCTTCATTGCTGCAGGTAACAACTGCTCATCCAAGCTCTGGTGCTTCGAATCTCCTACAGCCTTTCCTACCAGGTCAGAGCATTCCTTGGTTAGTTTTCCGTCAACTTGACACAAAGTAGAGTCACCTGGGATGAGAGAACCTCAATTGAGGAATTTTCTCCACCAGCTTGGTCTGTGGGCATGTTTATGGGGGCGTTTTCTTTCATGATGGGTGAAGTGGGTGGGTCACCACTGGGCATGTGGTCCTGGAATGTATATAAAAGCAGGCTGATTACAGACCAGGAACAACTCACCAAACAGGGCTTCTCTGATCTCTCTGCTTGAGTTCCTGCCTTGGCTTCCCTCATGGATGGACTATGATTGGACAAGTAAGCCAAATAAATCCTTTCCTCTCCCAAGCTGGTTTTGATCAGTGTTTTATCACAGCAACCGAAGGCAAACTAGAACAATAAACTTCTTCATGAGCACAGAAAGGAAGAGTCCAGCATATCAATCCCTTGCAGCCCGTTATACAATGGGATTTTGAAATCTCTTTCCAAATGTTGGTTGTGGTTCCAATCTGAAACCAAGATACTGATGGATTCAGTTTACCCAAGGCAGTTTTAGGAGGCCCACTGGCTTCTGTGCCCAAAGGCCAAAGTCAGTTGTTCATAGCATTGACTTCTTCCCGATTCCAAAATTTGGTTACCCTTCGCATACCCAGGTCCTCTAACTTACTAGGCCATAGGAAGGCACCCATTCCCCTACATAGGACAGAGTGCGATTACATGTCCAACACTTAAAATTGTCAGCACAGTGCTTGGATAAGTTAGAACCCATCGGAATAAGAGGAAAAACGGAAGTAGGAAACACTGTGAATCAAGTGTTGCAATCAGGCAGACGTGGGCTACAGCAACCCCCAGGGACTTGCGCAAGAGAAAGTACTGAGGAGAGCAGTCGAGTTTTCGCACTCCAACTACCCTGTTTTCCACACAGATGCAGCGGCCCGGGCCAGTTTCTCTAGTGAACGCCAGGGCACCACATCAGCCACCCAGGGTGAGAGGTCTCCTTAGTGGAAAACCGCAGGCTCCGCACCATCAGCAGCTCGGCCCTACGGGCACATGGAATCCTGGGACTTGTGGTCCACTCCACGAGCTCTTCACATCAGCTGAGGCACAAAGGACTACGATTCCCAGGATGCATCTGGTACGGCAGGGAGCCGGTGGGGAGGCTATAGCCCTAGCGGGCGTCGCCGTTTCCTAGCTCCTGGATCTCGCCTAGTAACCCGTCACAGCGGTTCCCAAACGCCGCGCGGTGGCCCCGCCCCCGGAGCCCCGGCAGGACCGAGAGCTTGTCCCCCGCGGCGCCCCAGTGACGAAGCCCATCCCTGGGTGCGTGGGGCGGGGAGGGAGGGCAGGCTGAGGATTTCTCTTGCCGGTAGCGGATCCGGGACGCGCCGCCAGCAACAGAGGTTAGAGGCGGAGAAAGCGGTGATGCTTGGAGCGAGGCTGATGGGATGGGAGTGCGGGAAGCCGCCAGGACGGCGGAGCGCGCGGGCCGGGGTGTCCCTAAGGGCGGGCATCCCTGGGAACTGCAGCGACCCGCGCCGGGGCTGTCCCCGGGGCCAGGGGCCCGCCCCCCGCCGGGCTTGGCAGGACCCCGGAGCCCGCAGGACCCCATAGCTAGCGCAGACCTTCCCGGGGAGAGGGACACGGTTATTTTTTGCCACTTGTTAATTATTTCATTTCTTCTGGACCACGAGCTTTTGTAGGTAGCGCTCTTCTTCCAGTTGCCCTATTGCCTGGTTTCCTCCGATTCAGAAAATCTTTTACGACGCTTACGATTGGAGTTGCTGATTAGAGGGAGCTGCTAAGTTCTTTATGGTTTTCTTGGTGAAAAGAAGGCTCAAGGAGGGTTTGGATTTTAAACACATACATGACAGCTAATTGGAGCATCTAATAAAAAATGACCATTGCACATTCGTCCTGGCTTTATGGAGGAATCAGCAAATGTTCTTTCAAATTAGATCAGCAACTACTAGCCAGCAGCGTTTAGGGCATATTTCATGTAATTAAGGATGTGGTTATGGAGGAGAAAGGAGTAGTTGTCAATTAAAAAAAAAAACAAAAAAACCAACAACAAACAAACCACAACTTGGTTTTAGTTTAGCGATCATTTTCTTGTGCTGGGTGACTTATACAAAAATTCTCTCTCTTCCTTGCTCTCGCATCTTAGATATAGACTGGCAGTTTCGGATCCAAGGACGGTGATGGCAAAGCTTACTCGGGCTGCCTGTCAAATCAGACCTGTCACGGAATAAATCCCGCTGCCTGCTGTGAAGCCCCTGCTCACTGCAAACTTAGCGAACAGGGTAATCCGTGTCTGGATATGCAGAGATCTGATTTCAAAGGCTGGGTGCCCCCCCGGAGCGCCTCTCCCGCGGGTCGGAGCCCGCAGGTGCAGTGAGGTGCGCGCGGGTGCCGGCGTCCCCAAAGCCGCCTCGCCCCGGGGGAGGGATCCGGGCGCCCAGCGGGGTCTGGCTGCCACGCACCGGCGGCGGCGGCTTCTAGGCAGCGGCTGATGATGGTGGCGGCCGGCGTGCTGGGCTGTGCCTGTGCGTCGCCGCGGAAATCAGCGCCGGGCGCTGCACCCTGAGCCTTTGCAGGTCCGCCGCAGCCAGAACCTGGGAGAGGACAGAGCCGGCGCGCAGGGGCCGCGGACCTGCGCGCGGGAACCCGGGGGGCGCGCGGGGTCGGCTTATCATGGCGGATCGGACAGCTCCCAGCTGCCAGCTGCGGCTGGAGTGGGTGTACGGGTACCGGGGTCACCAGTGCCGCAACAACCTGTACTACACCGCCGGCAAGGAGGTGGTCTACTTTGTAGCTGGGGTCGGGGTGGTGTACAACACCCGTGAACACAGCCAAAAATTCTTCTTGGGACACAACGACGACATTATCAGGTAAGGGGGTGGACTGGCGCGGTGGGAGGGGGTTGAATATGGAGGATGGAAGGGTGGGAAGAAGAATGACCAGCTGGGCTTTCCGGGGTCATGTCCGAGAGCTCAATGGAATAGAGGATTCTCCCTGGAGCCGCTTGCAATTAGAGATGGACTGCAGATACTAGGGCTAGGGTGGGTATAAGGAGAAGGGGGTGTAGGCGGGGAGGGACAGGTCTCCATCCTTCCCGGAGGCTTTTAAATCTCTGAGTTAAGTGTTGGGATGCTTTTTTGTTGTTCATTCCTGCTACAAGTGGAAGGGCTGGGTGACTATCGAACACTCTTCCTCCCTAACTAGGCAAAGACTAGTAGATGAACCAGCATCTTTGGGGGGCTCCTCGGTTCCTCAGCAAGCAAGTGGATTTTTTGAAAATGAGAAGAAATTTTGCTACAGACAGTTTGGAATCTTCATCCCAGATTCGTTAGACCTGGGAAATTTCTGCAGTGGGTGGGGAGTGTTTTCTGGTATTTCATTCAGCAGTGTCTTAATGCCAAAAGCATACTTACACACTCTATGGATGCTTCCACAACATCTTTGGGTTTTGACAGGCTGGCAGCTGCTGGAACAGAAAAGCCTACCACCCAGCCCACAAAACGGTCAACATTTGGTAGTGGATGCTTCAGGACAACACCACTGGTCATTTTCAGGGTCTTCCCTGTTTAATTGAAAGGGGGCATTTTTTTTGGTTCTTTGACCTATCCCCTCATCTAGACTAGACACCACCCACCCTCTGCCCTCGTAATCATCTCCTGTGGCAAAACTAGGTGTGGTCCAGATGCTGCTCACAGGGAATCCCTTTCTGCAGTTGTCAGTTGAGGATAATTTCTGTGATATATAAACCTCTGCTAACAGGGAAAATGACTTGCTGTGGGCACACTGCAACCAACAGAGACCATATTTGTACCTTCCAAATGTGTGTGTTCACTGATGCAGCGCAACTTCCATCTTTTCAAGATACTGCCATTGTTGCTCTAAAATTGCCTTTCACAATGTGATACATGATTGAGTAGTATAACGTCAATGGTCCTAACTTCTCAGTGGGGAGCAGTGATTTAAAAGATTAGCTCTCTTGGGGCTGGAGAGATGGCTCAGCAGTTAAGAACACTGGTTGTTCCTGCTGAAGACCCGGGTTTGAATCCCAGCACCCACATGGCAGCTAACAACTGTCTGTAACTCCAGTTCCAGGGGATCTGACAGCCTCTTCTGTCCTCCACCGGCATTGCACGACACCGGTGCATTTACCTACATGCAGGCAATACACACAACACACAATACACATAATTTTTTTAAAAAAAATTAAAAGAAAAAAGATGAGCTCCCTCAGCTAGTCTTATATTGGTATTCCAGAATGATTTTTCTTTTTGAGACCTGAAGTTGAAAAACTGTTATAGAAGGCAGAAATTCAATACTTGCAAATGCAAGAAGATACGTATACAAATACAATCTTGACTTTTGACTTTTGTTTGTTTTAAATTTTTTGTTTTTGAGACAAGGTATCACATCACACTCGTAGCCCAGGCTGACCTGAAAATCACTATGCAGCCCAGGCTGGCCTCAAACTCATGGCAATCCTTCTGCCTCAGCGTGCTAGATTGCAAGTGTGAGCCACCATACCTAGCTTTGGTCTGAACTCTTAGAAGACGCAGCATTTGAGAGCTGCGAGTGTTAACGTTCTCATGTTCTCAAGGTCTGGCAGAACTGACATGTAAAAGTTTCTTATGTCACAGGAGACAACCCCCACCCCCCAACCCCCGTTCCTTTGCCCCCTGGCTTGGTAAGGCTTGTGGTTGGGCATCCTTTATTTCTGTCCTGCAGATCCTGTAGATTTTGCCTCACTAATTGCCAAGCTGATTATTAAAGGCACAGGTGCAAATGATTAACAGTGACTCATGAAAAGGTTAGATGTTTAAAAATTTAAACCCATTATGTGTTTGCTGTCTGTCTTAATGCAGTGCTTTCCATTACAACATTAAAATAAGATGTATTCCTTTGGGGGAAGAGAGAGCGTGGCATTTAAACAGAAAATTCCCTGGGGTTAAATAATATGAACGTGACAATTCACTGAACTACTTTAAGGATTTGAATTCTTCATTACAAGTGTTTCTCTTAGAGGGAGAAAAATTAAATGCACTGTTGAAATTGAAGGTGGGAAGAGGGTGGAGTTGCAGTAAAAACCTTTGTTATGACAAGCGGCTGGGCTGTTGGGGCTGTGATGACACCTGGCTTGGGCAGTTAAAGAAATACTTGGATTTGAAGAAAAGGTGAATGAAGTTATAACTGGGTTGCAAAGAGCCTTAACTGATGAAAAGGCAAAGAGTATAGTTTATTTTCTGCTCTGTTTCTTGAGGTGGTTATTGCTAGGTTGAACACTGACATAGCAGTGTGTCTGACTTCAGAAAAAGGACTTGAAATTCTCCATATTTGGTTGGGTTTGAGTATGTGCGGGTGAGCAGAGTAGTCTAGCATTGACAAATGTCTTTGCATTTGAAACAAAATGAAGTCCAATGGATTAAAAACCACAAACCACAGATTTTTATTCAATTAAGAGCTGTAAAATTGGAATGTGTATGCTGTCATTTTGCTTTATCTTACATGTGTAAACATCTTTTTCTGGTGAAGGCAGTACAGAAACCACAATGCACAATCTTTTATTTGCATGCATTTCAACCTTTCTCTGTATACCCTAATATACTGTTGTTTTTCCACCTGGTGTGTCATTGAACAGGGAGGACTGTAATAGCCAAGGTTTTAATGCAAAAAATATTTTTCCCTTTTTTTGAATTATGACATGAATAGTACAACTCTTGATTTCATCAAAGGTAGTTCAGTAATTTTCTACTTGGTCCTTCACTTTTGTAGGAATATTCATATACTTGCTACTGTTCTATTTTCTGCAGCTTTGCTTAGAATATTAAGCTACAAAGCAGCCCAACAAATATTGATAGCATATTCCATTGTATAAGGCTGTGTGCTCTCTGGGATCATGATGGACCTTAATAATGATGCAGGATTTGGCAGAGCTCATTAGAGCTCAGCATGTGTCCTCTTGCTTTGACAGGCGATGCATTTAAAGCAGATTTTTTAAAATGTTGATATGTGAGACATAATGTGATTTATTGGCTATGGAGGCTTAGTTTTGTTCTCTTGAATGAGTGCAGGTAACAGATTAGAGAATGATGCCATATTTTAGCTTTGATAACATTGTGATGAGACAGGTAAATGCCTACAGTCAAGTTTGCTGTTGGACTGACAAGAATCAGATTAGGGTTTGGAGGCAAGGGCAGTAAGTTTTGGAGACTGGAATAATAACTAAATTGTGTTCCACATCTGGCAGAAAAGCATGAGATAGAAAGTGAATAAATGAAAGAAAAAGTCATCTGCACATTCATTCTAGCTCATTCCTGCAGTTCATAATCTTGAGATCTGTCTCCTCATTCTGGATCACCATGCTACTTCTGAATAGTTCCTGGTCTCCTTTTTATTCTTATTTATTTATTTGGCTTTCTGTTGCAGGAGAGGTTGATCTGCTGTTTTAGAGGAAAAGATACTGACTTTTTACCACAAGCACATGGGAAGAACCCCACTGCAATTTACTAGAGGCATCCAGCGAGCATGACCTCTCTTGGCCTTATTTGCAAAGTGGAGCTGCCAACACTGAAAAGGGTTTAGTGGGCCTTACCCTTAGTTGGTACTCAATGATTGTTGTAGCATTTAATTAAATGCATACAAACCAGAACAATTCCTCACTGTGCAAGCAGAAGTTCAGACTCCATAACTTTCCATTCTCTTGGACCCTAACTTACCACTCTATCCTTATCTTCTGTTAAAAATCATAAAGTGTGTGCTTCCCACTTGCTATAATGTAAGAGTACCCTGTGCTTCCATGCTTCATACTGGAGTGATTTATTGTCTCCCTTCTCTGCAGCCTAGATCTGACTTATAAGGTGTGGGCTATAGATATCTACGGTGTTGTGGAAGTTGCCTAGAAGCACCCACAGTGTCTGGCAAGTGAAGTGCTCAGCACGGACTGTGTTTGTATCCATATCTTGTAAAGCTCCATCTGCCCTCACCTCTGCCATGAGGCTTTTCACCATCCTCAAGGAATGTGATATACTTCTCAAGTTTTGCAGAGATATCTAGTACCATTCTTTCCAAATATTTTCATCTGTACAAGTAAACAGCTCCTTTGTGCTGAGAATGAACTTAATATAAGCCGAGCTAGCATTACTTGAACACCAGACACAGAGCTAAATAGGTGTCCAAATTTATCTCATCTATCCTTTTCCTATCCTGATAGGGAAGTGGAGTTGCTCACCCCAGCTTACCAGCCAGACAGCCAAGGCACAGAGGCATTAAGGATCTTGTCTGTGGTTTTCCGGCAAGCTGACTGTAGAATGGGAATTTGAACCCAGTTTGGTCTAATTCCAAAGCCCAAAGCTATTGGAATAGCTTCACTGTCTTCCAGCCTCTTATTTTTCTTAGTCACTGTGGTTCCTGCCTTTGTGCCTGTTGCTAACCAGAGCTTAGTAAACGTGTTCTCTCTGTAATTCCATTTATCATTGATTGGTGTATAAATCCTGTCCTTTTTTTTTCCCTCAAGTGTTCTTGAGACAGATTGCTGGAACTCAGTCTAGACATACAATCATGTTCAAGTTCACTTTAGCAACAACATTAGCTTTGAAACAGTGATCTGAAATGATCACCTGCTGAAGGTGTTTAATTGAAAAATTTTAGGAGTCTAAACTGACAGATTAATATAATCTGGTGCTGCAAATATAATTGAAGTTGTTGAGTTTGAAGAGAACAGCCTAACAACTATGGTTGAGTCTGGAGTGTCCTGTAAGCAAGTTCCCATGAAGGCCTTGAGGTATGGTTTTATTTTTAACTTTTAGTTCTTTGTTCAATTTGAATAATGGGGACATAAAACTATCTAGAAAGAATTAAATTCTGGGCTGAGGATGTA